CTGTCTGTCTGTCTGTGAGTCTGTCTGTCTGTCCCACTTTTTCTAGTTCTAATATATCTGTTATTTATCATGACACAACAGAGCGTGGTTCCTGTTCTTGGATCTCGTTCCTCTACCCTTACAGCCCCAACGAGACAAGTGCTTATGAGTGCGCGTGCTCGGCGTAGACTCGTCAACTCGGCTCTTCGTGATCATCCAGTTGCTTCGGAAACCCTTCGTATCTACGAAGCTGTACAGCGATTTAAAGGGAACATTACCACGTGGCTTGAGAAGCAGGGGCTGTTTGTGGAAGTCAGTGAATTGACGAACTTCGAAACGAGTGATGTCGACAAGGTTCGTGWGTATGTGAGTTGTTACGCAGTGGAGTTGAGTCAAATATCAAAATACTTTAGCAACTCAGCTAGATTCATCATCATCCTTTATGCCTGTGTGGCACGCAGGGCCAACGCCAAGGAGTTCACTCACCAGCTATTCTGTGTAGCTCTTACCTATTACCAGTGTCATTACTTCATTTTGTTTTGTTTGTCATTTATTATAGGGTGATTTAACAGGCGTCATTGAAAGACTTCCTGAAATACGATACAGTATAAGTCAGGTAACAAGCCGCCACAAATATTCTAACCAAGTACGATTATTCGTTTCCGCATTACGTCATCTGTTTGGTTTCAGCAAAAGACTTCTCATTAGGTCCTCCGTCCACCAGCATGGCCGCCATGTCTTTTGAATCCCTTGAGAATGTTTGAACACCACCAATATAGTCCGTGATGTATTTTCTTTTCGTCTGTAGGTCTTAGACAAAGTGCACAGTATCGTATCTACACAGAACGTGTCACGTGACCTTAAGTCACGTGCTGGAAGTACAACCTGTGGGTCTYCTGCAGGACAGGACACACCCGAAGCTAAAGACGAACAACCAATGGAATCTAATTACAGTAAACTCTTAAAGGAATACAACGACCTTGCTGAGGGATATGAAAAGCTGAAGACACATTTTGACCAAGAAATTAAATTTCACCAAGAACAGACAAGCCAGAACGCTAYAGTAATGGCTGACATGCAAGATACGATAACGAGTCTTAAACAACAGCTAAATGATGCTTTGGCAGGACGATCAATATCACCAGGGGTAGGTAGCGGGGAAGCAAGTATCACCAGGGATAGGTAGTGGGGAATGTCAGTATCACCAAGGGTAKGTAGTGGGGAAGCAAGTATCACCAGGGGTATGTAGTGGGGAAGCAAGTATCACCAGGGGTAGGTAGTGGGGAAGCAAGTATCACCAGGGGTAGGTAG